TCAACCTCTGCGAAGAGATTTTTGGGCTTTAGATGTTTTCAGGAAGCTCATCTCGCTCTGAGCGCCCACAGCAGCCATCACAAGAACAGTACAAAATATCCACACAGCAACACACACACCTCTCTAAAAGTGCTTTGCTGCCGCTTCCTGCAAATTGCCTTCGAGAGCACAAGAGGGATAAATTAGGTGGACAAATTGGCACCATATGCAGCCTGAAGGCGCCTCACTGTTGGATCATTTCTGGTGCCTGTTGATACGTTGAATTACATCCAAGATGCACTTTGTCTCCACTAATGCCCCTTAATTTTTAAACAGGGCCCAGATTCCTCAGTGATCTGTGTGATCTGTGGCTTGGAACTGTGAATCTAAATGACTGATAATGTTGTCACGATCAGCATAAATACTGTGTCAGCATTCCGTCTAGTTGGTTTTATCTATAGCAGTCTCATCATGGAAGCACTATTCAGTTCCCCTGGTGCCTTTGTACACGCTGAAATTGAAGTGTCATCCCATTGTATTTGTAACACAGGAAGCCTCAGACAGAATATTATCCCAAACATCACTCAGACTCCACATCACTGCTGCTTTATAGTCTGCGCTATCTCTCGCACAGAGTGAGCCTTGTTCCTCTCCTTTCAGCATTGTCATACTTTCAAACACAAGACAACGGGGGACATCTTGTTGAATGGCTAAAAAAATATTTCAGAACACTTTCTTTCAAGGGTACCACAGGGGCAAAACGGTGAGAGGGTTATTACAGGTCAAACAGCTGAGTGCCCCTTCAGCACGTCTCTCACAGGCTGTGACAACGAGAGACCTCGAACTCCACCCATTGTTGTAGGCTGTGTAGATAATTCACACCTACAGAAAACATATAGGCACCGCATGTTTCAGTGTGTGTCGCACAAATGAATTCAGGCTGTACATGCTCCCACACTTACATCTGCACCGTGATTGTAACCTTTTCCTGTGCTTTGTGCTGCACACTGTGGTTGTTATGCAGCGACTTCTCTGCATTCTGCTTTATTAAACTCAGTAAATTAGATGAAGCTCTCGCTACTGTTCCAGTGCGCCTTTCTTTGTCATACTGCAGATATCTTAGCAACAGAACACCATGTTCTGTTTAAGAAATACTTCATGTGTGGTAACGTTACAAATAACTGAAGACATGCCAGTACTGTAGGTGTTTGGAAAGCTATAAGGTCACACACTGTACAAAGTATTTTTTATGTTTTTTTTCTCTCAGTTTCACCAAGTATGCAAATGGCCTATGATTTGTCTACTGATATGATAGTCTCTACCTGTGTCAAAAAGACTGGTCAGATTTTGTATTTACCCTGTTGAAAAGCGACCATGTTTCCTATTTGTATTCCTGACCAATTGACCACTCTAAATCTCTGGTAAGAGTCAATGTGTCAGCTGAAATGACAACTGTTGCTTGCAGATTTTATCAGGTGTAGCTAGCTCAGTAATGCTAATTCTATGAATTTGTAAAGTAAATTTCCAGGTGGCCTTTCGATGTTTAAAGGAGCAGCGTTGCTCCTGTACTGCAGAGTAGCTATTTAGTTAGTCGCATTATTATGGTACAGTATTATAAATAAGAATATAATTACAATGTTATTTTGTTCTAACATAACCCTGTTCAGATGCCATACTTGGACAAGCAACACAAAGGTTAGATTTTGGTCATATTCTTTTGTGTCAGACTCCATACTATCTCTGCTGTGGCTGGGGCCCAAAATCCAATAAAGAGCAAGGCTAATGTTAAGTAACAGTTAACGTTATATGTCATCCATCGCATTTATACTTGTGCGATGTTGAAATCAATTAACACTCATTCATGCTTTTGCCGTTAGCATTTAAGGCGGCTGATAAAATATAGATATACATAATAATTTAATTAATATCATAAACGTGCAACAACTAGTTGAATCGGTTTTATCTGACGACTAATAGTTGACTAGGAACATTTTTTATCCGGGACAGCCCTGAGTAATCAGTCCAAAATGTTTCATGGTCTTGAAGAACACTATCAGGTCGAATAAAGATAGATATTTGTCAAAATGCAGTCATCCCAGGAAGGTGTGGGTGTATGAGTGAACTTGTGTGCGGCACTAATGATCTGTAACTCAGTTAGTTCAGGTTGCTTTCGGCTGCAGCGGTCCGTGAAGCTCAGACTACTAATCAGATTGGGCTGAAAACAAATGGCTGCCATTGGTCAGACCACGCAGTTTACCTGTAAGTAGGGAGCGCTTGGTTGGATGCAGCAGAGCAGACCGTCTAGAAGTAGAGATTCATGATTGCAAGATAAGATTGTGATTGCTGTTGTGATTAATTGTGCAGCCCTGAGTTAACTGAGAACTTTGAAAGTGACATCACCAGAAAAGGACAGCATCAGATGTTTTTTCTTCCTCGTGTGGTCTGATGACTAATGGTTGTCCTCTGTCACAAGAAAAATCTGACTGATATTAGAAACGGAAATGTGCTTCCTGGAACAGTGATGGTTCCTGTTAACCATGACATTGACCTTTCCCTAACCCTAACAGAGCAGTGAGAGTATACGTTATAGTCCATTAAAGTGACTGTTGTTGATCTCAGCTGCATCCAGAGTGTTTGTAGCTGTTCTGAACTCTAAGGTGGGGCATAGAGAGGGGTGAAATGCAATAATCAGTACATAGTCTTTTCCACTAAAGCATTAATAGTATTTGTACCTGCGAAAAGTGACAGTGAAGTTAAAAACCTATATACTAATTATATTTTTATCGCTGCGTGAAGTGGGCGTGCTCATTTTGTAAAGTTACAAAAGTTGTTGTAGTTTGGCAAATTCTGATGTCAGAAAAATGTGAGTACCAGTGTGTGTAACATTTAGGAGGATCTATTGGCAGAAATGGAATTTAATTTGCGCAACTATGTTTTCATTAATGTGTCATCACCTGAAAATAAGAATTTGGTGTTTTTCGTGAACTTAGAATGAGCTGTTTATATCTACAGAGATAGTGGGCCCTCTTCCATAGAGTCTGCCATGTTTCTACAGAAGCCCAGAGGGGACAAACCAAACACTTGCTATGGATAGGCCCTTTCATATTTCTGTGTGTTTTGTGACCACCATAGTTTCTCCATCACACTTGGAAGGGGAGGGTGAAGTGGGGGTCTGCAACTACACACAGACCTTTTTAAAGCTGGGGCACGTGGGCCTGCAGGGAAATGTTCCCCTTACTGATGTGGCCATAAGTTGGAAAACCTGAGGCCAAAATAGGTAGACAAAAGCCTCACCACCAGGAGCCACACATGGAGAAAGATACCCAAAAAAAGTTCACTAACTCACCTTTAGTTGCTGTGGAAAACAGGTTACTGTTATAGAAAATGTGAACGCTGCCTGGAGAAAATTGATGATGATATGGTTGTAACCTCCAGATTGTGCTGTGCAATAGATCTGAGAGACTAGAAATGAGACACCTGCAAAGGCACACGAGTCCAGGAGTGACAGAGGCAGGTGCAGAAGTTCGAGGACATGAGGAGTGTATTGCAGAAAGCAAAATAACCACCACCTAAATACATTTTGCTAACCACTAGGGGTTGAGGGATCTTTATAAAGTCAGGGTTGAGAAATGTCAGGCTTAAAGCTGTTCTAATCAATGGTATTACATAAAGAATGGATCAAATGATTATGTGTAATGTGAAAGGGATTGCTTCTAGTGATGAATACACAGACCTGACCTGACCGCTGTACAGAGTATTTTTAGCTAGGGATGTCAAGATACCAGATATTTAGTAGTCGATACTAATACCAGTGAAATTCCTAGATTCTCGATACCAATTCGATACCATGTCCCCAATCAAATTTTTTTTGCCCCTCATCCCCATTTAATATCTGCTGATACCAAATCCTAAACCAAAACTTAATATTAATATAGTATTTTCCTTAATAATACAAGTGAATAGCTCTGCATTGCATTGAGAAAAAATTGCCTGCCATTTCATGTGCCACAACTTTTCTGTTTATCACCACTCTCATTATTGGTGTTTCCAGCTGCAGCAGGCACCCACAGAGCAAAATTGCTCTGCCCCAAATACAGAAATGAACTACAGTCCATATGTAGGAGATCAGGTAGCCCATGATATAGCCATATCTCAGCCAACTGTATGACCATAGCTGGCCCTGTTCTGGCCCTGTGTTGGACCAGACAAGTTTCAGCACTCTCTTTCGTTTACAAAGCTTCAGTATTCAGTTCTAGTGGTTACTGGCTAACTTGCCTCATTTAACGATATGTCTACACATTACTAATGACATTTTAGAGTTTTGCAAACGGCGTGATGTGAAAAATCAATAATATATTTATTCAATATACTGTTGTGGAAGCATTTTTCAAGTGTCTGTGTTAATGAAGTGTCTTGGTTAAGTTTTAGTCGAAGCTGACAACAAGAACCAGTCCTGAAACTCTCATCTGACATAAGGCCAGAACAGCAACCATATGTCACGGCCTGTAAGTGGCTACCAGAGCTTGCCGAAATGGACCGAAATTCATTGCCATATCTGGGCCAAGTGTAGGCCGTCAATCGGCCAGAACAGGCCTGATGTTTTTTATAGGTGATGGGGGAAAACCCAAGGGACATCATCCACATACACACTCACAGACAGGTGGACATTTTGCCTTTCAGCATCTCAGCCACCATGAGGTCTTACCTCTGTGTTGGCCTCAGTGAAGGTGTGTGTGTGTGTGTGTGTGTGTGTGTGTGTGTGTGTGTGTGTGCGTGTGTGTGTGTGTGTGTGTGTGTGTGTGTCACAGAAAGTGTGCGTGTGTGTTGTCAGAAGCTCTTCATAGGTCTTTCAATCACAGCGGTCTTTTGGGAGGGCTCACAGCATAGGTGTGAGGTGGGGGGGTGAAAGCCTGAGGGGTGTATGGGTGTGTTTATGTCTGTCTCATTCAATCCCTCTGACTCTCTCTGAAACATTTTCCTTGTGTAGCTTACAATACCCATAAATCAATCCATGCTATATATATATCTATATATATAGAAATATTTATTAATAACATCTGAATGGACAATTTACACACTCTGCTTTAGCTTCATAATACATCTTGTGTTTACAGTTTGATTAGTATCTCACAACAGAGGAGAGATTTAAAAATGACTCACAGAAAAATGATGCATGCATTGTACCTACAAACACATAAGAAATTGTTATTTGTGACAGTGTCCAATACAAAGACATAAACAATACTGGTATTAATTTGAATTTCAAAAAACAAACACTGGCTTATTAAAACAACCACAGGGTGTGGTCTAAAATTGAAGGAAAAAAACATGTAAGTCCGATTACAGTAGATAGGGCTGCTGCAAGTGTGTCAGTATAGAAACAATCAAGATATTAATTTCATGGCAAAGCTAATAGTAATCACTAATGAGTTATCATCTGTATTATTAATTAGACTTTTTTCTAAATGGGAGCCTTTTACAGTGACAAGCCCCCATCAAAAAGGCACCAGTACTTACTACTATTATCAGCCTGACCAATTATTGGATCCAATATTCAACATTTTTCAGAATATCAGAATCATTATTTATTTTATTCCATACAAATAAATTCATTTAAAAATGCGCTACTTTCGTTCTGATGTAGCCTGTCTGTCTGTCTGTCTGTAGTCTCACTCAATATCTGATTGGTCACACTTTACAAGTAATAGCCTATCGACACTGCAGGCTGCTGTACCACATACGGGGAAATGGAAATACTCAAGTAAGTGCAACTTACTAATCAATATTTGTATCGCCACTTAAACTATCATATAGTTTTGTCCATCACATAAATTTGTTATCAGAATAAGAATCCGAATCAGAAATACTGTCAGGGGGGAAATTTCTTAATGATGTGATATGATAACAGTGTATTCCCCAAAATACTTGCTGAGATCTGGAAACATGTCGACATTGCAAAAAATCAAGCAGTCAGACTAATGAGCCGACGGTTTATCCAGAATATCTAAACCACTTTATTTGGAGTGGAGTGGAGCATTTAGCCACTAAAGAGCTACAGGCGTCCCTTAAGAATTGGCAAAGACCAAAGACAGAGCTAGAAAGAGAGCGAATACTGGACTTTCATTCATCAGATGGCCAGAAATACGACTGCAAATGAATGCTTATGCTCCCTGTCTGCTGGATGTGTAAATAGGCAATCGTTGCTAGACCTAAGGCTGCTTTAAGTAGAAAATCCACCATATTTTGGCCCTGTCCTGCAGAGGGGCACTGTTTCAAAATCTTAATTATTATAAGCTTATTTTGTGTAAGCATGGTACATATTCCAAACACTGTGTTTATTCAAATTGCCTAAACTAAAAAACATAAAACTTGGTGCCAGGTAGACCGGCAGCATAAGAGGACTGGTTGTTTCTGGGTCTCTTCATTTACTGAGAATCTATTTGAATAGAAATGATGGCCAAAACTACAAATATACAGGGATGGAAGTACTTTTACTCTCGTGACTGTTTTTAAGTTACTAACTTTTGTTTTGTGTGTAGTTTTTTAAAGTATTTATAAAGATCTGTCATTTTGCTTGCAGGTGTGTGTGGGGGGTACAATCATGTAGCCCTACTTGCTTTATGTCAGCACATTTGAAATATAATAATCACTTAATGACATACATCAAAAATAGCCTCATTTTACACACAATCCATAATCATAAAGATACAGAAGAAGAGAAATGCAGAGCAAAAATGGCACATTGTCAATATTTTAGAGACCCCCCAAATTTCATAAATCATGTCTTATTATCATGTCTTAATAGCCCCTGTAGTTCACACCCTGTTAGTGATGCTTCTGCTGCTAATTCAAAAAGAAGTGTCCACAGTGGAGTCCACAGTCCATGTATTGTGTATGATTGGTGTTTGAGTTTATTCCTCTTTTTGCTTAAGTCTAGTAAGATTAAACTGAGGAAGGAAGTTCTTTACTTTAACTGATAATCTGAGGTTCTCACTATTTTTACACAATAATTTTACTTTCACGAAAGTAAGATGTCTTTAAAGTAACAGTACTTTTACTATTTTCCAGCATCTTTCCATCCCTGCAAATATAATGCTCACATTGTAACAAACCAATAATACAATTAGTAATGACACTACGTTGGAGACTGATCAGCGTTTTCGGTATTTTGACCACACCCTGTTAACAAAGTATGACAATTTAACATGCAGTAAATAAAACACTTTATGTGTCATCTGTCAGCTGCTTTACACATTCTTGGAGCAAATCCTCTTCAGGTATCATCTTTCCAGGAAGTTTTCTGTGAGAAAGTCGCCCATCGAAGTAAAACTAAGGTTTACACTACGAAAATCTCTTACGCTCAGTTCTGCTGTGGCTGCCACAGAGTTCAGGCATCGCTCAGCCTATGCAGTTTGAATGTCTGACAGCCAAACAAGTGTTCAAAAGAGCAGAGACTTTGTTGATCTGAAATGCCCTCTCTGTCTGTAACTTCACCTGTCTAACTCGTACTTTTTCTATGATAGCTGATCACTCACATCAATTACAAGTCACAGCTTCACACATTGGACTAAAAACTTATGATTTTGGTGGTCCTCAAACTGTAATTTGCTAAAATAAACAAACAAACAAAAAAAAGCTTGGCCTGTTAGATAACCTCAACCTCTCAGCCTGTTAGTACAACCTGTTAATATAAAATAATGAATGAAAGTACTGTAGTAGTTCAGTTGGAATGTAGTTAAGTGTTTTTTTGGTTGTGAAGACAGAGGAAGTAAAAGGTGTGGATTAGCCTTTGTGGCAGCTTTAGCACACTAAAGCCTTGTTCAATCTAGTGACACACCAGTGTGTGTGTAATGGCTTTTAGCTGATGTTACTACTGCAGTCGCTTGTTAGTTACACCTTGTACTCTATGTTTTAACATTTCAGTCTGCAGTTCCATCATCCATCATTCTTCCACCCTGAGGCTCTGTGCATGTGTTTGGGTGTGTGTGTGTGTGTGTGTGTGTGTGTGTGTGTGTGTGTTGTGTGTGTGTGTGTGTGTGTGTGTCTGTGTGCGTTTGTGGTTATGGCGATGGAGGTGTCTTCAGGGAATTGGTGGATCCTCCTTGGCTTCCACTGCCGACCGCTCCCTGTCCGACCCACTGGACCACAACAGTGAGAGAAAGGAGAGAGGGAGAGAAAGACAATCAGTTAGTTGCCAATAAAAGACAAACAAAAGGAATGGTTTTTTTACGTCGTATTAGCGTGCTCTTAAAATGTGTCAGTCATGTGAAATCAAATTGAACCTGCTGCAGAACTAAAAGTAAATATAAACTACGCTTGAATATATAGAAGCAGCTTACTGTGGCTAAAAGGGGGTGAACCTGTCAGAGCAATTACACACACGGTCCAGGTGTCATGTCAGCCATTTAGGATTTTTCTCTAAATACATCAGTGTCAAAGCAGCAGTGATGGCAGCTTGTTCCAGTGACCGTACATAGCTGTATACACAGTATAATGTCATTAAGTCAGCAGATGACCTCAGAGTCGGATGAGACCTGTCTACAGGCCTAAGGGCCGACTCAGACCAACACAGGTGCTGCAGTGAAAAACACCCTTCCTCCTGTTCATTTTCAGTGGGGGCAGTGCTTCAAGGCTTTTGTGTAGTGAGCTTTGAATCAGAGAAATACATTTTTTGTTTGTTTTTTGTTTGTTTCACAGCGGTTAAATCCTAAAGCACAAACAGGTACACCCATTTTCTCCGCACTGTCCAGTTTACACTCCCTTTTGGCACTTTGTTCTCTGGACTGTATGTCATTTCATTCAGTAAAGAGTTTTATTCAAGATGGAAAAGAAGGCTCTCTGAGCTATTGATCTTGCTAAGGGTTTGTTAATTTGTTAGTTAGCAAGGTTGTTAGCTCAGGTGTCAATGGGACAATAAATTCACAGTACATTCAAAAAACGTATTTGTACAATTGGCTCCTGTCTCATAACTGCAACCCTGATGCGACACAGCAAATAATTCCTCCATCTTGGACTTTCCTTTGTTCTCTCAAAGGTCAGCTCTGTCAATATGGCAAGTATTGCTATTAGTCAGCAGTTTGCTATCAGCTCAAGTTTGCAGGGCAAAATTCACCAGTTAAACTGAAAGTATGAATTTATTTTGCTGGGAAATTTCAGTCTTTAATTCTGGTGTGGCAAGTTAAAATATCTGCTGTGAAAAAGGCCCAGGAGCCATACTGAAATTCTAAATAATAAAAATAATTCAGGGTGGATTCTGTTGATGTAATCATTTCTGAGAGTTGATTGGCGATTTTCATTTGATCCTGTCTGATCTGTCTTTAACCTGCCCTGAAGCAGGCTGACCGAGAAGGTTACCATGGCGATGAGCTAACCCTGTGAGACCGAAAGTCCGGGAATATACAAGCTCAAAGTTGGCTTGGAACACACTACCTTGCTTCATGAGAGCGGGCCCTGCAGTGTGCCTTTCTGGTCAGTCACTCATTCATGTGACAAAGTGGAAGCAACTGAGCTTTCTGCTTTCTTCATCTCCTTTGCTTTCCGCTCAATAGCATCAGAACAGGGCTTGAAATGACTCTGGGGAATTCAAGAGCATTTTGTGCATGTGCGTGTGTGTGTGTGTGTGTGTGTGTGTTTTTTTTACAGTCCTGGCTGAAGACATCAAGTTGGTGAATTATTAATGCTCTCAAACAGTGGTCAGAGGGTCAGAGAGGCTTACTCTAACACTTCAGAAAAGCCATAAAAGACTAAAGTGGGTATAAGAAAACTGTGAGGGTCTGTGTGTCAGCAATTTGTGTGTGTGTCAGCAAGGGTGTGTGTGTGTGTGTGTGTGTGTGTGTGTACAAGAGACAACATCTAGATGTGTTTCAAATGAACTAAATTGTCTAGTGTGAATACATGAATGAATGTGTGAATACTTGCAAATCACTGTATGTACTGTACTGTAGTTACTGTACATATGTGGCATATGTGGGCATGATTTTGTGTGTGTGCGTGTGTGTGTGTGTGTTTGCATGTGTGACATAACCAGTAGGCCTGGTCCCCTCAGGACTTCTGTGTGGATCTTTTAAGGAAACACAAATAAGCCATTAGTCTAGAGCCCTGGCCCCTCTGCTGTAGTCCAGTGCTGCTGCTAATGGCCTCAGATAAGACACAGCTAGTGGAGAGTGAACACAGTGTGTGTGTGTGTGTGTGTGTGTGTGTGTGTGTGTGTGTGTGTGTGTGTGTGTGTGTGTGTGTGTGTGTCACACAAACGGCCCTAGAGACAGAAGAGAGCTCTTCTAGCTTCAGCACTGTTGGCAATATCAGGGTCACCAACCTCCCACCAATACTGCAACTCCTCCAGTTGACACAGTGTGACAGCTAGCGCTTCATTTACTTCTACATCTTGATGCAATGCTCAATAAAACACTGAGTGGTTAACTGGGAGAAGTGGGAATAATCCTGCTGTCAGGTGGCAACTAAATAAAATAACTATGTGAACATGTGGTGTGAAAAGAGCTCTGCCTGCACAACCCTTACTGAAACGCAAGAAAACTCAGCCGAATAATTTTTCTTCCTGCAGCTCCTCTCACTCACGCACATCAACACACAGGCTCAACTGGGACTGACCATTCTCAAGCAATAACTACTCTGGCTCCAGCTTTCCCATCGACATGAGGAAAAATATTTTAAGAGGAGGCTCGGGCTGGATCCACAATACTACGTTTTTAAAGTTTTAAAACTAAAACAGAGAAAGTTCACCGTTTCAGAAATGATCTCCGTCTATATTAACACACCTGAAAAAGCATACCACATGACCATTCCTGTACACTGGGCGTGCACGTGCCAGTATAAACAGGAAACGGACAAAAATAAGGAGACAGAAACGTGACTGCTCTTCACAGAATCCTACTAGATACTGCCGTTTTTATTCAAACATTGTCCTTGTCATTGTCAGGGTTCACATGCGTCCTGGAAAACCTTACAATTACAATTACCTTACAGAAAGTAGTTTTCCAGTCATGTAAACACCTGGAAATGAAAGATTTAAAATGATCAAATATCCGGTAAAATAATCTTTGTTTTCCTGGAACATTTTAATCGTATTTCAGCCTGTGCTGAATGAATGTCACAGTTAGAGGAAAACTATTCAATAGACCTTTTTCACAACAGGCATGAGTTGCTGATGCCGTCTGATTTCTTCTGGAGAAGGGTAACATGACGAATCAGAGGATGACACACAACTGATACAATTTCCAAAAGTCTTCTTTTGTTTTCTGTTTGTCCAGATTGAAACGCAACCCCAGATTTGTAAAACTGAAACTGGGCCAGCGTTTCCAAACGACTCTATTGTAGTTGCTTAAAAAACGCAGAAGTAGTGTGGACGCTAGGTGCAAACTTAGCAAAACTGCATATTAAAACAAATACGTAGTCCAGTGGATGTGGCCCTAAACAGCCTTAACAACAGTTCACATGGTGTTATATTATTTTTTTCAATCTACTGTGTTCAGGATCAAGAATGAACTCAAGATATTGTTCTAATTTGGGTCAATATAAGGGCACTTAACTGCCATTCTCTTAAAAATCAATTGGTCCCAAATGGAAGCTCAGTTTAATGAAGCTCAAAATGTTGCTAACTTCCTCTTAAATATTACATGATATTAATGTTGTGGGTGCTAAATTATATAAATGCAGCTACATAATCCTTTTAAGTTCTGAATTCTAAAAAAATGAATTGGAAAAACAAGATGACCCATCTCAAGGGGCTTGTCCTCAATAAGTTGATTTGCATAAAAACTGGGTTAGTTGGTAAAGACCAGACTTGTAGCAGCCATCATTGTCAAGCATTCGATGCCTATCACTTAGGGGAAGCCACACATGACTGAAGTCAGTCATCTGGATGGTAAAAGAATCTAAATATACACATTATACATTAGTTGGTCTGCTTTTAGATGGAAATGTCAGACTTATTCATTAGAGAATAAATAATATTCCTGGGGTCCTTAGACAGCAGACCTCCTCTGGTAAAGATAATGATGTCTAGAGAGGGCTCACATCAACAGTCCTCATGACGACCAATGGTAATAGCTAACAAGCTAGCTTCCAGCAAGCCAGGGTCCATTCAATTCAGTAAGGAATGTTAAACCTGCCGAAACATCTCTTAGTAAAGCTTAAATGAATTTTGAAAATCCTTCAAAATAGAGAAAACACACATATGAGCTTGACAGATGCTAATGCGTGTCATAGCCGATGCCAGGCGTTACATATACCCGGACAGTGATCCCTTCTGAAGCGTTTTATCTTCTGACCCCTTCAGCTGAATACCAATGGATGTAGCTTTGACAACTCCACATGAATTTACATGAATCAGTCCAGCATCTGTTTTAGCATGCTCTGTTTTTTTAATGAGTGTGGGCTGGAAATTCAGAAATAGAAACAGCTCAGTGGATGTAGCCACCTCTCTGTGTCTCTCTCTGGAAGCTAGGTGCCTCTGTTGTGGCAATCACAGCAAAACAAGTCAAGTATACATGAGGGTTATGCAGTATTTTTGTTATGTAATTGTTTTATTTCTTTTTTGACTGTACCTCAAAATGAAATACGCAACATGGAATATAACTCATTTAGGTTGTATTTATTTGATTCTGAAGTTATTTGTTTTGAATTAAGAATCTTTTTTTAGTGTAGAGAAGCGTTTGTACACTCTTTTTACATATTGATTCTTTAAATATTCTAACACAAGCATGGTTTTAATTGAATATTCTTCTTTTTTTGGCCTGATAATCAGTCTGAATGGCCATTCTGTTTCATTTCATTCATCTGTTTCAGTGGATGAATAAATCAGCTGTGTGGGTGGTGATTCTGAGTTTTGTGACCAGCCTACTGATATGAAATCAAACCCATTACAGAGTGCACATCAAAGGCTGTTTATCTGTACTTCATTAAAAGTTAGGCAGTTTTTAATTGTGCCAACATTATCAGTGACCGGTCATTCAATTCTCAACAACTACCGGATTTTGTACCGACATTGTTCTCTAGAGAATGGAGATTGACAACTACTGACTTTGGTGACCGCCTGAATTTTTCTCTAGCGCCACCATGAGGTTGACATTTTTGGCTTTTGGTGAACTGTCTTGACAACTATTGGATGGATTGGCACAAGGCTTTGTACAGGCATTCAAAGTCAAAGTACAGCCTCACAAAGATGCTAGCATGGCTGTTAATTAGTCTCATTTCAACTCTTTTCTCCAGTCCTTGCATTAAAAAGATCATCGTGTAAGAATGTTTACTTTGTAAGCGTGTTACTAAGAAAGTCAAGTTTAAAACCTCTACAAAAATGTATTGTACCAACACACAAAGCGGCACATACCTCTATGAGAGGGTGCCAGTGTGCAATGGGTTTCCGTGGGTATGTCAGCATCTCACTCCAGTGGTCTCGCCCCAGACTCTCCGCCTCATTGCCCACCCTGCACACCCCGATCACTTCGTTATGTCCAACCCTGCAGGACAGAAAAAACAACACATGGAGACTCCAAAATGTTGCATCAGTTAAAGCACTGTAGATGAGACTGATATAGGTATAGCTGACTTACCGATCATAGTCCATGACAGCTATGAGCAGGCTGATCTGGTCGATGTTCTCAGGAGGAACATCAAACACGATGGCTTCGTTGTACACCGGGTTCAGAGTGTTACGCTTGGTTGACGTCTTCCTCTTCTTTAGCCTCCGGCCATCGCACATCAGGGACACTTTCACATATGGATCTGGAGAAAGGTGTGGTGAGGTCAGTAAGGATGCCAAAATGTATGGGCAAGGAAAGCCACGAAACAAAATATTATACTGACTCACAACAAAGCACTATAAAGCTTATGTGTATATTTGACTACACCACCTCTCAGTGGAAACATTGCATTGTCAGTCAGCACCCACCTGAGGCTCCAGTGATGTCCATGGCTTTGAGATTTCTGGCTTTGATCATGGTGATGGTGAGCCTGCCAGCCGTGGGGAGATAGCACAACGAGAACATCAGCTCTCCCAGGTCCACATTGTCCTGAAAAGAAATGTATTACATTTTTATATTAGTATTGTCCATGCTCCTTTTATTAAGATTTTAAAGACAACCACGACTGGGACTGGTAGGGGAAGAATGACATCTGAGGTCTGAGTGATCCCCAGGCAAAGCATCACATCAGAAGCATGAATTTCACCAGGGGAAATATTTCAGAACATAATGATACATCAGTTTTGACAATTGACAGTGTATAATTAGTAGACAGATCTTCTGTGAAGTGAAGCCAGTGTCTTAAAGCTGGATTATTTCGTATTGCCAGCAGGGGGCAGCTTCATGGATTGCAAAATATAAGTCTGATAGAAATGAGTTTTATGGGGAAATTACCCTACTTCTAGATTTATGAGCTCAGTAAACAGTTTCCTAATGAGTTTATGGTCTTATGTATTCTTCCATACAGCATGATGTTCATTTAGTAAATTATGGTCCCATTTAGAGTAACATAGGCGATAAAGCAGGGTGTGCTTTAGGGCGTGGCTACCTTGTGATTGACAGGTCATTCTCAGTAAGTGCATCAGTGCAATGTACGAAACTCGGATCAAACTGTCAAACTAGGCAGTGCTGATAAATATGAAGCAAGATTCTATTATTGCGTTGCCTATTTCTTGCTTAGAATCTCTTCAAAAACATATTTTAGTGTACTGTGTATCTCTCATATGAGAACGTGTGTGACCAGGCTAGCTGCCATTGTTTCCTGCTAAGGACGAGTTGCAGCCAATGAGCACAGCTCAACTTGCAGTACGTCACCGCTGCTGGCTTCAAATAACTGACATAATGCCAGCGATAATGCCAAACTCGAGGCTTCAAAACGGGTCTCATCAAACCAGTGGGTGATGTCACGATAGGTTCACACTTGGTTTTGACAGTCATTAGTCATAACTGACACATAATGGAATCTCTTTAGTCTCAGTTTTTTTCACCAAACTGAGGGCTGTCTGATGGCAAGGTAAAGTAAAATGTTCTTAATATACCATACACTTATATAGCATTATTGATTTTTTTTTTAAAGTGGGATTTTCTTTATGTGGCTAAAGTACATTTTTCTGCCAACCCTGTATTCAGCAGTGCATTTTTCTGCTTTCCATGCCGGAACTCCTGTCCACCGGGGACCCGCTGACCTCCGTCCACTGCAGGTAATACATTGACTATGGATAAGAACACCACTTCAAAAAACCCAAATTATCCCTGTAGGGTTAAATAAGTAACAGTTGAGTCAAATCCCAGAAAACCAATGGGTAGAATCAACAGAAGGCACATTATAATGTTACACAAGTCTTTGCACCTCAGATATGGATCACGTCTGTGACACCTCATGTACAAAAAAACATGGAAACCTTTTCAATCACATCTGCAGCGTGCAGCAACACCATGACTCATCGTAATCAGCATGTTTGGTGTTACAGGAATGTCATGTGCTGAGCATTTAAATGATATGCAACCTGGTTTTGGATATGTGGATTAACTTGTGTAATCTGCCATTACATTTAACTACTGCTGTTTTCCTCTGAGAATATTCCTGCTTTCACAACTTATCCACAGTCACGCATATGCCAATCTCTTTTCCCAATTAACACGTCTGAAAATAACGTGTGATTGTGTGAGAATGAGTGCTGTGCTTATGAGACACAAACACTCACAAGCTTTCTTACAGGGGAAACTCTGATTTCTAGTTTTACACTTTATCCCACACATCGGGCTGACACAGAGCTCCCTGTTACAAAACCTAAAATAGGAAGTGAAAAGAGCAAAACGTGTACAAAATCTTGAATACTTTACCACAACAAGGGATTTAAAAAGAAAATAGCAGTCGGCAGATGTGGTTCCAGCTGTTTCAGCATCTACAATCCAAGTCAGTGAATCCCATTACAGTTCTTCTAATACAACAAAAACGCTCTCTTGATACTCAGGATTCAGCCGCTTTATGTTTCAATGGACACAGTTGCAAAGCAGGTTAACACAACTATTTGATGTGTCTTAATGCATTCTGTCCAATCCTTGATTAATACACAGGATGTTAGTGATTTTGCACTTAGTCTTTGTCAGAAGCAACCAAGCCTAAGATCAGAAGTAGCGGTTATACTGGAAAATCATGGTGTTACTAAGACATCAATGTGTCCTCCTTCTGATGCTGATTAAGAATAATTGGAGTAATTTCTACACAGACACAGAGATCACACACACACACACACACACACACACACACACACACACACACACACATTAGGATGCTACTGCTGTGGGTCTTTTGCTCAAAATCAAATTGAACAAATTGAGTTGCTTCATCACGGATGTCACTACCTACACGCCTGCAAGCCTGTAAACACACACATGCTCGCTCTCTCTCACACACACACCACCACACACACACACACACACACACACACACACACACACACACTAGTTGTCCAGGATGCATGACATTCTGACTGTGTGATGAGTTGATTCGTCACACGACTTGCTGAGGCAGAATCCACCAGTGACACCGACTGCATTATCATTGTTACTTTGAGCCTCGGGCGTTAATGATGTAAAGCTTATGATGTCTCCGAGGTGTAAGACACACACACATTTTGCAGGAATTCACTAACTGATATACACAAACAGGCAGGCACTCACTCAAACGGTGGATCGGCAAACCCTTCAGCTCTCCACTGCTAATGTGATCAATCTCTCATCACACACACACACTCTCAATCAGCACACTTAAGTTTTCAGACTATAGAGTGCCGCTCGCTACTCTTATGAGCACTCAAATCAAGCCTGCGGTCAGGATTATGGTCACTTGTGCTCAGCCAATGAAATTAGACCTGTGCTCTTAAGCGCTCCAATAAAGCAGAGACAGAGTGTGGGCAGTCCATCTTCTCCAATTATAATACTAGCACCTTCTGTCCCTCAGGAGCAGCCAGGTTCTATCCACAAGCCTCTCTTTTGCTGTGTCTTTAATAATCACAGGCTCAGTCTAACTCGATCTATCTCATTTCTTTCTCAGTCCCCCCCCTTTTTTTGTAGCTCCCTCTGTTTGTGTGTGTGTGTATGCCTGTGCAGGGCTTCTTAAAAGTCCAGTGTGTAACATTTAGGAGGCTCTATTGGGAGAAACAGAATGTAATACTCATAGGGATGTTTTAATTAGTGTATCATCACCTGAATATAAGAATCATTGTGTTTTTGTTACCTTAGAATTTTTAGCTACAGAGGGAGTGAATCCTCTTCTACAGAGTCCGCCATGTTGAACCACCTTTTTTTTTTCTTTTTTTTTACAGTAACCCAGAATGGACAACCAATCACTGGCTGTAGGGGCATTTGCATTTTGTCCCAGGTTGTTTAATAGTTTTAAGTTTTTAACAAAGACTAACTGACGTTTTTATTACAAAATGTTCTTGCTAAAATCCATAATTAATTTTTGTTTATTAATTTCTGTGCTCATTTAACCCCTGTGGTAGATGTGTGGAAATTAACTCTTATTATTTGTTCTTTATTATTTTATGCATAAAATTGGCCCTCGATGTAAAACTTTGCTGGCCCCTTGGCCACCGTTGAAAAAGAGATTTTATCTCAAATGGGTTTTATCTGGTTAAATAAAGCTGAAGTAAAATTAGACACATTGTGACAGTGACGCTTCCCAATAATCCTGACTATTTATCTTGAAGGTGTGGAGCTCTGAGACACAGGCATTACTGCAACAAAGGTCCCACTATGCTATGCACATAGATTGGTACGATAATCTGAAGCCATATGGTGTTGCCATCAATGGTTGTATTGATAGTTTTAGTCACTAAGTAATCGCAGACTACTTTATCACATCCATTGTGCCCGAAGCATCCTCCAGGACGACTGCACACTGATAGATGCATGGAAAATGGTCACACAGATAGTTCAAGTTCAAGAGACGAAGGAGTTGACTTTATTCCTCGACATTTCAATCTTATTCTCAAAATGCAAAATACATTTAAAGAAATCTTCCTTCTCTATTTTTTTTCCTATGTCTGGTCTTAATACTAGGTGGGGCACCAGCATGATGCCTTTATGGTGAAACGGTTTCAAAACCTGGTTCATATTAACCTCTGTTCTAAAACACACAGGGAACTATTAACTATTTAACCATTTAGAGGCATATAGAGGCTACCTAATTTCAATTCATGTAGAGAAGCTAATAGAAGCGCACCCTATAGGGCACTTAATCACATTTTCTTGCACATTAGTGCCATTGTCAAGAGGAACTTAACCTTTTTTTTTCTACAACTGGTGCAGAGGGCACTTCCACCAGTTCCCACCAATATAAATGTGAGAGGTATTAGAGGGATCTACAATCTACAAAGTTGTTGGAATAATAAAAGAACTGAAATGAGTTGACTCAGTAGAACAGTAAAAGGACAAAAAGCAGGCACAAGATTTTGTTCATCTCACTTTAACACTGGAGATCCTGTTACACAATGGCCAATCAACAGTACAGTATATCCGCCTGGTTGAACATGGTGGAAGTAAATAAATCACTGCCAAGGCTGAACTTTAGCTGTTTAGATGAATGTACTGTGGCAGAATCAGGTTAGGCTACAGGATCCATCATAACTCTACTCTATAGTGAGACAGTTACTCACAAAACGGTGTGAGTAGCTGACTTGTAGCAAGTACAGTTTAAAGACATCAGACTGAATATGTTTCAGCATTTCAATGTAATGTTTAAATACTCCAAATATAAAAGTCTACCTCATATGAAGCAAGTTGCACTGTATTGTGAATGTGCATTTATTATTTTGCACACTCTTTATTGACATTTGTTGGTAAGAAAAGCAAAAGTTATGTTAAAAACCAACAAAAAACTATGAAATTACTGTGAACAACCCAATCCACTGTTGAGAAGTGTCGACTATTATCACTGACATGATAAACCCGATCAAACCACCTTATTGATTTCACTTGGAAATCTCTTGGATTGTTTTGTGTCATAAAAACAGAAAGCTAAATGTTTCTGAGTTTTTCACTAA